CAGCAAAACAAAGAACAAAGTAAAAAGAAGAAGGTAAAGACAGTAGCTGTGAGGAGTACGTGTCTGTTAGGCGTACTCCACACAGGAAATAGAGTAGGAAAAGGAAGGTGTGGTCTTCATGTGGTACACCTAAGTGAACACTACAGCTATTCAAACTCTAAGAAGAGGATGTAAGAAAGGGAAAGGAAAGATCAGGGCAATAAAGAGCTAATGTGCCCTAACCTTGTGAGACTCCATGGGGCAGGCTTTACACTTTTTTAAAACAAAGATCCTGAAGGCTACTTTAGACTCCTCAAAAAAGAGGAACCTTTGCTACTTTAAGGTTTATTTCTAGAGACAATGAATGCCCTGGCTTGTAGAAATCAGTACCATGGAAACTAGAGGAGTCAAGTATAATGTGGTTCTGTGTTGTGATGTGTTCAAAGATGGTGGATGAATCAAGGGAAAAGGGGAGTTTATATATTCACAGGTAAAGCGTCAACTTGTAGTTGGTGTGTGATCCTTGTCTCAACTTGTGGTTGACACTTGGGTTAGGCTTGTTATGTATTTAATACATTATGTACACCTAGTGACGTAAAACTTACGCGTGATAATGCATAGAAAAAATCATGAATCTTGATGGGTTTTACTGCCAAATTTGACAACAGAATTGCATAACCTGTCAAGATGCATAGCAAAAGTTGTCCCCCCAAATTATGTGTTCGCGTGGGTTTGACTGTATGTGAGGATTGCATCTATTTGAATGTGATACAATGGTGAGATATTGGATAGGTTTGACATTTGTACGTATTAGGTTTGAGTTGGTGTATGAGCTGGCTTGTAGTATGTCAATGTGTTTTAATTTGGTTTGTTGTTTCTGCAATGTAAGTTGTTAAGTATGTATTATTCTGACAGCAGTTGGTGATTTACCTGTTGGAAAAGTATATCTGTCAACCAGTGCCAAGACTTTCACACCAACTGTTTTTATACTTTATTATTCAGTGTCAAAATTACAGTGTGCTCCTGGGTACAAGATCTTTACACTCTATTTTCAACACCAGATATTCTTGCACTGGCTCAAAAAATCCAAAACAGAAGAAAAATTGAACTCAACTAAGTCCCTCACTGCTGGTTTCAACGGTCTGAGGTTCAAGGCATACATGGTCACTGTGAACATCATTCAAGTTCCCCAAGTTGGAAGAGGAAAATGGTCAATAGTACAATTTGCCATAAAAGGATCCAATACTGCACACCTGAGCCACAACACTCACACTACATATGTGCAGCAAGCTAAGTAAATAGTTGTCTATCATGTACATACAGGTCTGCTCAGTTTTTTGCCCATCAGAATAAATAAATCACATGTTATACCACATGTAACTTTTTTGACTTTGAAAAGATTGTCCCAAATATTCACTACATATAATTCTGTAGCTGCTCAAGCAATATTGTTGAAGCTGTTTCTTAATGACAGAAAGGGCGTTACATACAGTTGAGTAAATAAGATTACACTAAAATGTTGAGTCAGTGTATGCAGTCAATCTTTTGAATGCTTTTGTCATTCTGAAAAATGTTACAGAATGTATTACATATGAATAACTTATCCTGATGAGTAGATAGCTGAGCAGAACTGCTGGTACATGATAACCACCTATTCACTGAGCCTGCTACACATATGTAGTGTGGATGTTATGGCTCAGGTGTGGAGTGATAGATCAATCTATGACAAATCATACTCCCAATCATTTTTTCCTGCCCAATTGGGGAAGTTGAATAATGTTGGCAGTGGGTGTACACACATGGCGCCATTGTTTCACAAGGGCCAAACAATGATATTAATTGCAAAACTGTGCTTCATATTGTGTGATGGGGTTGTTCCTCAGTATTTCGCATCTTGATTAATGAGTGCTACCTATATGTTCACATGATTAATCATGCACTTAGACTGTATCAAGGTTTATTGTTTCATCAGCCTAAAACCACAATCTGATGAAATTTACATAGATGACTAGAGCTTAGGCAGCCTCGCCCCCCTCTAAGTTCAATAAGTAGAAAGTTGATCCTGATGGTCTAAATGGCTGGATGCTTGAGTCAGGATCAGAAAAACAAAGACATAAAATAGGAACCAAAATAGGCAGATATGCACCATGCTCAACTCATTGTATTATTGTATGTTAAGCCAGGGATTGTGGAACAACCATCAAAGGTTCAATACATACAATCCAGATGAGATTTAAAGGTGATGCTAACTGTAGCACACATTGTGACAATATACTCAATTCACACAGAGATGGAGTTACCAAAATTAGGTTTAGAGACTTGTTCAGCGTAAAGTATACAATTAAGTTTCTGCACGCTTGGAACACAGAAAGGTACTTATGACAACCTCATACACTTTTTCCTGTGATGGGAATGAGATTTTCCTGGAGAAAATTGTTCTCCTTATTATTTTTTCTCATTCTGGAAATTTCTGTGGACCCAAGAAACCTTTTGTTCACCTCTTGGAGATGCACAGATCGATCAAAAAAATACCAAGGAAACTGAGAAAATTTCTTAGCTTGACCTTCAGCAGCCAGTAGACAGAGGACTCCCTGGAGGCCTTGGTTTTCATTTGATGAATGGATGTGCCTCAATGGATGATGGTACCCAAAGGCACAACGGTACCATAAGTTTCCACGTATATGCATACCAGCGTCGGGTAGGAGGAGGTAATTGAACGAGATAACCTGTGACGTTCAGGTTATTAGCTTTAGAATAAAGCTAACACGCTTGATCAAAGAGAAAAGCACAATACCTGTGACGTTCAGGTTATTAGCTTTAGAATAAAGCTAACACGCTTGATCAAAGAGAAAAGCACAATCTGAGTAAAACGAAGATTGTGAAACAATGAGTTCGAGTTCGATGAAGAGATCAGGTACAATGATAAATGTAAGAAACCTTTTATAGAACTCAAAGTCATGACATCATATGGTAATAATGATGTAAGCAAAGAAATAAAAGAAAAGCGCATAACATCACAGCGCGTCTAGATTACTAATCTCAATTGAGGTCACGTGATATCCCTCTACAGAGGGAGACCTGTACATGGGTGAATGATTATCAGGGTCTTGGCAATGAAAAGTTTCATAGCCGCCCTTCCTCATTGCCAACCTTTTTCCTCCTCCCTCAGGATCCCACTTGCGTATACTCACACTTCATTTTCACTATCTCACACCCTCTACCTCGTAGAGGACTCTTTTTCCCATCAAAAAAATTCTCACCCACCCACCATCCCTTCATCTGACATAGAGTGGGTAATATTTCCTGCTGGCTATGTTACGGTTCTCTACCTTTCTAGTAATATTTTCTGATAAGCTGTAAGTTGTTATGACATATGGGTGCTTGTAGAGGGGCTGCCTAGCCCACCGTTCAGAGCTCCCCGTCTATGAGGCCCGGCTGTCCTACCCCCCTTAGCCTAGGCTAGGAGGCACCCCCAAGAAACCTAAAAAGCTTCTACGGTGGAAGTTTTGGGTTTGAATAGCACAAACCTCAAAACATAAGTAATACACATAAATTGGTATTACTGACACATCCCAGCATGTAGGTGCTTGCCCCCCGCCAAGAGATAGCTGAGATGCATAGAGAGTGGAAGAAGCAAGCAATCAATTTCTTTACCTCACAAAAATCCTTGAACAAATAAAAAGGTTTTATAAGGGGGATGATTTTCCCCTGAAAAAATGAATTCCCCTCACAGGCAAAACCATATGTGTTTGTCATAAATACCTTGCTGCTCTCAAAGCATGCAAGAAGAAGTTAGGGACTCAATTGCTTTCACATAAAAATCAAACTTAAAAAAGCCCCATGCTTGCCTTGCAAGGCTTTGAAGTAGACAAGTGTGGGACTTTGTTAAGTTCACAGAAAGATAAATTTACCCCCCCTGGATTGATTTTTCCACCAGATGCAGTGACACCAAATAATCCAGTTTCAAATAGGTTGGTGTAAAACTACCACCCAATAGAATATTCCAACCAATGAAGAGACTTTGGCTTTGCTGGTCCATAACACAATATAAAGTTTTACAAAGTTTGCCAAATGGGCCCAAACTTTTACCAACTCCTCTGTATCCATGCAAATTGGAATTTGTCATGTCTGTATGTGCGGACAAGAAACTTTGAAAAATCAATCCTCTTGGAATGTTTATGTTGACAATCCAAAACATTGTATCATCAAAGTCTGTAGCGGCATGTTTGGGTGGCCTTTGAGAGATCTCATAGATAAAAGCATGCAAATATGATAGAGCTGCAATTTTATGACACAATTGATCTCTCTGACTTCAACCCATCTTGTGCATGCATGATGAAGAGTTTGAAGAAAAGAGTTGGTATCAAGGGAAGATCATTGGGAGGCCTTTTAAAGTTTGTAGATTCAGGGCTGGTTGAAGGAGTCCCGGGACATGAACAAATTCACACAATCTTGACATCTATGTCTCATTTCACACATTGTGCACATTGCAGAATCCATACATATGTATAATCCAAGGTCTTTTTCTCTTAACAAAGTCCCACAACCACGCTTTGCAAGGCCTCAAGTGAGACTTATGACTGATCATCAATTTTGGCATGAGTACTCAAAGTGCCGAGCCCTATTACATAGTTCTTGCTATCTCCTGATTTATTCACTAATCAACAACTTCCATCCCCTCCATCAGAGGAGTGATGAGTGTGACACTCTTTCACTCTTCCTTGGCAATTCCTTACAAATGTGCTCAAGAAGTTGCACAACCTAAATTCTGCCTCGATTAATTTTGGTTGTGCTTTTCACAAGTGGAAACTGGACACTTCAATTCAAGTATGATATCTGTTGCCATTTTTGAGGTTCTATGATATTAGGGTATTTCCTTTGACACAAAAAATTGGGTTGTAAACAAATTCAAATATAGGTTCCTGTTTTTTGAAGCAGGGAATCTTATTTGGGAGCCGAAGCCAAATTATATAGGTGAGAGAGCCAATAGTGAAATCCAAAATGTGTCAGTAATTATATGTCTATGAGGTGTGATCAGCCAAATCATGTGAAATTGATGGTTGAGAAATACGCGCTGATATCTCTGGATTGTACCAGAATAAGTGAAACATGCGAGGGATTGGGTATTGTATATCTTTACGGCAAAGGGGGCATGTTGGCGTAAATTTTTCTGGTGTTTTGACCTCTGCATATATCCAATCCTTATTACAGGCAGAGGCAAAAGGTCAGAAATTGTGTTCAGATGTGAAATTACATTTGGGGACTAATGAGATTTACCTCCATGCAATGGTGGTGGAATTTATGATCGTGGTGGCATCCTAGACGTACGACCTTCTGCCCATTGACAAAATCATTCCAGCAGATTGCACAAGGTGTTTTGTCTTCTTCCTTTTGTTTGTCCACTCCTGGAAACACGGGGTAGCAGTTTGTGAAAATGTGGTAACAATTTATGCATCAGCTTGGGGACATGGTAAGATAGAGATAGATGAATAGATGGATCTACTTAAATACTATGAAGCACAGTATTTGGACATGTGATTCTTCAAAAAAAATCGGAAAAAGTTTTCACAAGAGAGTGACATTCTCGGATAACTCACCTGCAACTGGGATACCACCGTTCATATGATTTTTGTCATCTTTGATATAATCCAAGGCTTTTTCCAATATTTCCATCACAGCAATTTTACTTTCTTGATAATCTTCCATAGAAGGATACTTCTGGAGTGTTTGGTGATCCATATGAGCTAAATCGTGTTCATAACCTTTAAACGATTCTAATACATACTCATAATGTTTCATAGTTACTTTGTCCCATCTTATAAGTGGCAGGACGAGGTTTTCCATGTAAAAGTCCCCTATTCCCCCTTCGAGAAAGCCTCTTATGAGTGGACCCAATTTTTCCTGGTACTCGAAAGATTTCTTGAATCCTTCGTAAATGAATTTTGCACGCCAAGATTTGAGTTTCACAGACTTATTGTGTTTCTCAAGGTGATTTATGATGTGAAAAATGCATATAACTTCTCCTTGTGGAGAATCTTTTTTCATCATGTGGATTGCACATTCCTTGATCAAGTCTGAAAGCTTTCTCTCTGGAATTAGGCAGCTCTCTTGTAGTAGTGTGTCATAAATGTTGATGAATTCGCGAGTCATTTCTGAACGTTTTGTGACATTTAGATATCCTTGTAGTTTGACAAATAATTCCGCTCTCCGGAGTGCTTGTGCCAGTACTACAGGGGCAAAGGATTCGCGTAAGTGGCTGGCTCCTCATTGCGAGATGAATAGATATGCCCACAAGGATTGTGATATCCATCGTATGCGACAGTTGAACAACTGTTCCGCACCTCAATTGGGAGATTTATTTCTAATCGGGTGAAACACAGATAACATCATTTCAGATAAGATTATAGCACTCCAAATCTATTCTACGACACACCTCTAGTCAGCCAGAGCTCCAGTGCTCCACGGCAAACAAGTCCTTCCTGTACATTTGTCCGTACTGGCTTCAATTCTCCTTTTGGTAAATGAGCCTGAAGAGTCCGTAGGATCCCTAGCGCCCAAATCCTTTCTTTCAATCTCAGGTTGTCTTGTTCTAGGACCTCGAGCGCAAATTCTATTGTTTGTTGATATAATGAATTCTCACAGAAGAGTGCTGGGATGTTAAAAGACTGTGGTTTGCCTATTATTTTGCCGAAGCCTATAGATTGGATGTGTAGACAATAATTGTTGATATTGAGCAGCCCCGCAGCCAGAAGCGCGAGCGTCGAACGTGAATCGTGTTGAAAGTATTTGCGGGCCACATCTACATAGATTCCAAAACCACCAACTGCTCGCATACCTGCAATGGTCTTCCATATCATGGTAGGATGTACTGCGGGCGATTTCACTTTCGGTCGGAATTGAAAATCTGGATCGATTGGACCAAAAATCTGCAATCTGTCGAACCTATCAGCTGAGCTTTTGGCTGATGGCAGAAGCGTTTTGGTAGCTATGTTGACGAGATACGATTGCGAGAACTGCTGAAATGACGATTCGCCTTCCGAGAAACGTTCAGAGGCGGAAAGAATGCCGGGTTCCTCTGAACGCTGTGCCAAAGTAATACCACCTAGCACTCCGTATGCTGGTACGACCTGAGCTGGGCCAGGGCATCTTACCATGGGAAGTAAAACCACACTCGCTCTAAGAAAAAGTTTCAGATATTTCATGATCTTGGAAACATACGGAAAGAGAAGACACACAAGTGAAGGGATACTTTTGCAAGGCAAAGGTTGATGAGTTTGAAGATCATGTTCCAGATGCATTTCATTTCTCTGACTTACACCATCGCAGACGAAGTCACAGAAGTGGTAAATAACACATGAGGCTTAAACATAACCCGCAGTGAATATGTATGCGCTCATGAGGATTTCAAGGACTCCGGTCAGGCTCAGCAACTACCATGTATGCAGCAGCTCAGCTCCAGACTTTGACTCCACAATGAAATATGTTTCTTATCATTTTTGTCGACTACGGACCACGGCGGTGAATGAAATCTCCCGGAAACAATTGGAAGAGGCATGTTTCGAGAGGCAGGGACTTCTTTTTATAATTATAGCAAGCACCCCGTGTTACCGCTCAATATATAACCATCTCTCAATCAAGTGGATCACTTGAACCAGATGAAAACAAAGTCTATCATAATCCACATCACTTTATCCCTTATCTTGAGCAAAGTCACATCACTTTAATTCTCCACTAATTCAGCGTCTAGAAGCCATTACTAAGTCTCGTTTTCAATGAGGACCTGTTTTTTGAGATGATTGGATCTCCCATATTGTGGTGTTGCTTGAGAAAGATTGATGGATTTGAACGCAAGCAAGCTGCTGAAAGCCAGATAACTTGATGATGTTCAACTCGAATCATTGGATTTGTCTCAACTTGACACATGATTCATCTGATTTCTAGACCTTTGCGATGATGATTGTCTTCCTGCGGTGATAGCCTCTTGAGTTCACAATGACTTTTGCCTCCTTGTCACTAAGTGATACAAGTTGTGCTAGCCAACAAACTTGTGAGAACTTTCAAATCAAACCAAATTCATTACAAATTGATCATCAGGATTAAACAAGGGTGTGGCTATCTTGGCCCAAGAATCAATATTGCCGCGCCCCACTTTTGCTCACGTTCTTGGGACGAGCTAAATATGGTCGGATTGGAAAAATGCCCCTCACCTGTATGCTGAGATGTCCGAGCGGTCTAAGGAGCTGGATTCAAGTCTTCATCAGCTTGCATGTGTCATGTGTACTTCCCAGTAGAGAAATCTGCAGGGGTTCGAATCCCCTTTTCAGCATGTTTTTTTGTTCCGAGAGACAGCAGGCACTATGTCTGCGTATTATCCTCATTATCTTTTTCTGGTGTGTGATCAAGAAATCAGTCTATGCCAGGTTCGAAAATTAGTGCTAGCCCTCCAAAGCTTCTTGATCTTTACTTGTGAATGGGGTGCAAGCAACTCAATGAGATGGGACAATTGTTATTGGACAGGCATATTTTGCCTCCTGTTTCTTTTGATCACTTTTGGATAATTACTACTTGAATCACGTGGGAGGCTTTTGCCATGTTGGGGATGATAAAAAGATAGAAATGTTTTTGTTTATTTTCTTTGTCTAATGAGATTTGAAAGGATTGCTTCCTATCATGTTACATACGTGGTCACCTAGGTATGGGGAAACTGCTGGGTTTTTTTGGTTTTCCTGGGGTGCTTTGACTTGGTGTGCCTCAATATATATAAGTATGATAAGTATTAGCTCTATGCATACAACCATAGCACTAGTAACAAAATATGTGGTGGGCCAAATTGCCTCCTCTCATCTCGCTGCTTTTGAGTCATCCAGTTGTTTATAAAAAGAAGAACAAAAAAGGGGCAAAATGAAAAAAGGGATTGTGTAAACAGTGAGAATTGTTTTGTCAGATGGATCAAGTGTAATACTATTGTACTTCGCGGGTTCGTCCAGAATCCTTTTCACCCGTGATCCTTTTGTGGTCTGTAAAAGCTACCAAGATTATGTTTCCTACTAGTGCCTTTCTGAAAATTTTAGGTTGTGTCCTATAATTCTTACAATGATTGGTTTGGATCGCGACATCAATGAATTCCGTGAAAACTGTTTCATTATTTGCGCCTGCGTCTTGATCATTTTGAACTTGATCCATTGTACATGACTGATGACTTGAAAGCAAGATTCAGGAGATATGCCGCACTGGGGATTGCCAATGACTCTTCTGACCTGGATCTTGCTTCTCACTCAGGGGTATTTGCGAGCCGTATGAAACCCCTCCTTTGAATGGTTAGGTAGTCATGAGGGGTGTAACTTATAAGATGGTTGATATCAAAGGAAGATGTTACCCGCAATGATGGTCAAGTTTGAACACGAGTGATCCTTGCCGAAGTCATGTAAAAATATTTCAAGATCGACATGCTTTTGGCAAGGATCTTGTTCGTCTGAAATTAAACACTTCGTCCAAAATTCTGATGGAAAGATCAGACCTCATGATGGGACGAAGTTACGCACGTCCATACATACATATGGCCATCTTTTGGTCCCGTAAGATTCATGATGTGACACGATGGCTGCCCCGTTTTCTTGGCACATGCAAGTTCAAATTGTACATGTTTCATTCTGCCGGGCTCCGTCCCAAAGCCGTGTCGGTTGAAAAAGAGTAAGATACACCCGGCTTGGTGCCCGTTTCACGCGTCTCTTATATTCAAAGTCGTGCGGGGAGCAATTCGCAGGGATTACAAGGAAACAGAAAATCGCTGATTGTAAACCAACGAATAATTCAAAGGTGTGGCTTAAGGATTTGATTTATTGATGTTTGAGTTTACACAGGAGCGCATGAATGGAAGGGAGGCTTTGATAGAACAGTAGCTACTGTACTGTGAATACGAATCGCGTCTCCATGATCGAAAATTGAAATACAAAGTACTGAAATCCGTCGTGATAAGGTGTTCTCTGATATACTAACCTTTCCTTTGGATTATTCATTTCTTTCCTCAATATCGGAAACAAGCGAAATAATTCCATCTGTATATGTTGTATAAATACATACGACGGTGATATCATAAGCCATCATAAGGCACCATAACTCATCATATAAAGTTATGAAGGCCACACGACGCATGCAATCTCTATGCGACCAACGTGACTCCGTCAGTTTATGCTCCCCCGAGGAGGTGAAACAGGGTGAAACAAATTTTACAGCTTTTTACTCACAGCTTTTTAAGCGGCAGGGAATTTGGAAAGAGCAGCATAGTGTGCTTGCGCATCACGATCCCATTGCCCAAAGTGAGGAAGGTAGCAAAAGGCCTGTCAGTGTGAGTATGACGTGGAATTTAAAAGTATATCCTTCAGGCCCCCGCCCGCTACTGGAAGTCTGGCTTTTTTCCCTGCCAACACATTCCTCTCAATAAGGGTCGAAATGGCTGTACATACTTATCTGTTCTTTAAGTTTTGGTTCAGAGTGGGCCGATATGGAAGAAGAGAGGCTTTGCTTTGAAATCACTATTCCCTGTGAAGTTTTCCTTTCCTTGTATTCATTCGTCGGAGAAAAGGACAATATTATCGGGACGGCCATTGATCTGTATTCATTATACCTCATAATACCATGTACATACAATTGTCAATGAGTGAGGGGAGAAAAGTAATGGGCGGGGATGAATCAGGATGAATCCAATTCGGCTCAAAGAGAGTGGTAGCCTGTAGAAGATAGAAATTGGACGGATGAAGCAATACAATTTAGACGGTGGCCAAGGTGACGTGTATTTTGTATACAACATCACCACCACCCAATAATTTGATGAGTGATGAAGGAACTAAAATGCTGGTTTTCTGTGGACATAGTCCAGCCTTTAATAACTGGAGACTCTGTGTACTAAAGGCTACTAAAGGGTTGTTTAAGGAAGCCGAAAATATGTTGTTGAAGGTACAACATAATCATTTGAAGGAAGAGAGACACACTTTTGTCTTCTCTATGGCCAAGGGATCGTGTGTGGAAATTGTTCGGAATCCTTCGAATTGAATGATGCATTTTTATGAAAATATGGAATCGAATAGTCTTTCATGTGAAGGTTCATGCAACTTTAGTTCTCTTCATTCAGATTCAGATGAACGATGGCTTAAAAGTGGCTCGAAGATTTCAACGAATGTTTCTTTACTTTTCCATAATTCTATATCTTTCTAAGCTGATTGAAGTTCTCTATAAACTCACTCACCTCCTCCTTAACTTCTTCCTCTCATGAGTTCTATTGTCTATCTTATTCCATCATCAACTTTTTGTTAAAATCTTTCGTTTTGAATATACTTCTTTTTCAAGATCTGCTCCATCGTTTGACATAGCCCTCCTCCATCTGAATCGATTGTTCCTATCCTGTTTTTGCGAAGTCTGCGTTGTGATTATCACTCCTTTCCTTCTTCACCACCTGGTAATCAAGCCAAATCACTGTCCATAGTTTCGACCAATCGAACTTCATCCTTGTCTCTAAATATATATACGATTCTCAGGTCATTCGTTGTCAACCAAACATACATATCCGGTAAGTGGTATATGCTGTCTAGCATACCCTCCTTACCTATATGGCTGACCTTTCCTTTCCTCCCACTTACTTACCGGCTTCCCTTTCGATTTAAATATAGTTCAAGCGCGGAGTGGCTATATACATATTGAGGCTGAAAGGTAAGGATCCGCGTTCTGTTCACTCTGTACCAAGCCAGGTATAATCAGATACCGCTCCAAAGGAGGCACCATATACCGGATCCCCTATATACACCCATGGGGTGATTATATGCTGGTATGATGAAATCTGCTGCTCATATGCTTCAAGATTTGCCTCTGACTCTGAGCGTGGGTTACACAATTCAAGTCAGAGACCTCAGCGAGAGTTGCTTGAGAGCGAATGATCAACTTATGACTTGTTTTGATCATGGAGGCTGACGATGATGCTGAATTGCATATTATCTTTGACTTTACTTTCCTTAGTTGCTGTTCTTTCCTATCACGACTCACTTCTTCAACCAGCAGAAGCCCTTCAACCTCACACATCCCGCTTGTCAACTTGCTCAATCTTTACATAACCATTTGTACGTGTTGTAGACTTCAACTATTTATCGGTCGCTCAATGCAGTGCTGAAATTTCACTCATTGGCCATTTCCCATCATTTGACATCGTATTGTGCAGCGAAGGCCCCTCTGGTGAGATTGAATTCTATTTACTCAGTGAAAGAGTTTTTTATTCATATTTATCTGGATGTTAGAACCACCTCCTACCACCTACAGGCTCCCAGCAGTT